TCAACAATCACAGTGGCAGTACCACCTTCAGAGGCAGAGATTGTAGTAGTCTCAATATCATTACCAGTCCAAGTACTAGTAATTGTACTAGTAGGAGTTGGTACTTCAACAATCACAGTGGCAGTACCACCTTCAGAGGCAGAGATTGTAGTAGTCTCAATATCATTACCAGTCCAAGTACTGGTGATGGTAGTTGTTGGAGTTGGAACTTCAACGATCACAGTGGCAGTACCACCTTCAGAGGCAGTAACAGTAGTGGTCTCGGTATCAGTACCAATCCAAGTACTAGTAATTGTACTAGTAGGAGTTGGAACTTCAACAATCACAGTGGCAGTATCACCTTCTGATGCAGGAACTGTAGTGGTCTCGGTATCGGTACCGGTCCAAGTCGAAGTAATTGTCGTTGTTGGTGTTGGGACTTCGATTATAACGGTAGCTGTACCTCCGGTGCTTGCTGAAATTGTCGTTGATGAAATATCCGATCCAGTCCATGTGGAGATTACTGTGATAGTAGGCGTAGGTACCTCAACAATTAATGTAGCAGTACCACCTTCTGAAGCAGTGATCACAGTAGTTTCAGTGTCAGTACCACTCCAAGTGGAAGTAATAGTTTCGGTTGGGGTGGGGACTTCGATGATCACGGTAGCCGATCCACCTTCTGATGCAGAAATTGTAGTAGTCTCAATATCAGTACCAGCCCATGTGCTGGTAATAGTAATGGTTGGAGTAGGTACCTCGACAATTATAGTTTCCTCACCTCCTACAGATGCTGTTCCAGTAATAGTAGTCGTGTAGTCTCCACTCCAAGTAGATGTGATATACGTACTTGGTGTTGGAACCTCAAGTATAATTGTACCAGTGCCTCCTTCCGATGCAGTAAATGTCAAATACTCGGTAGTAAATCCAGTCCAAGTAGAAGTAATGGTGCTGGTTGGAGTAGGAATCTCGATAATGACAGTAGCCGTTTCACCCTCCGAGGCAGTAATTGTCGTGGATTCTGTATCAGTACCAGTCCAAGTGGAAGTGATTGTAGTAGTAGGGGTAGGAACTTCAATTATAACAGTGGCAGTACCACCTTCTGTGGCACTGATAGTAGTGGTCTCGGTATCAGTACCTGTCCACGTTGAAGTAACATAAGTAGTGGGGGTTGGAACCTCTAATATGACAGTACCTGTTCCTCCAACAGATGCTGGAATAGTTGTTGAAGTCACCACAGACCCTGTCCAAGTAGAAACCACTGTTACCGTTGGAGTTGGCACTTCAAGAATTACGGTGGCAGTTCCTCCCTCAGAGGCACTAATAGTACTTGTCTCTGTATCAGTACCAGTCCAGGTACTGGTAATAGTGCTGGTAGGAGTTGGAACTTCCACAATGACAGTAGCAGTTCCACCTTCGGAAGCGGTTACAGTAGTGATCTCAGTATCGGAGCCAGTCCATGTGCTCGTAATAGTGCTGGTAGGAGTTGGAACTTCCACAATGACAGTAGCAGTTCCACCTTCGGAAGCAGTTACAGTAGTGGTCTCAGTATCGGAGCCAGTCCATGTGCTCGTAATAGTGCTGGTAGGAGTTGGAACTTCCACAATGACACTAGCAGTTCCACCTTCAGAGGCAGTAATAGTAGTGGTTTCGATGTCAGTACCTGTCCACGTGCTAGTTATAGTACTGGTAGGAATTGGTAAATCAACTTCAACAGTAGCAGTTCCACCTGGAGCTGCTGTATGTGTAGTGGTGAACGTTGTGAGTCCAGTCCAAGTCTTGGTACTGTATACTGTAGGAATTGGTAAGTCAACTTCAACAGTAACAGTTCCACCTGGAGCTGCTGTATATGTGGTGGTCAACGTTGTGAG